TTTTTTTAATTTTAAGTTTTTTATTGTGGTGTTTGTCTTGGACTTCAAAACTTTTTACATTTTTCTATATAAATTTATTGTCAAAGGAGGTTAGGCGCAGATTAAAAAAATTTATAAAACAATATAAAATTTTAAAATATCATAATCAAATAATTATATGTAAGAGAAAAAAAAATTAAGGCCAATTAAAAACTTAATAATTATGGAGGCTAATTAAAAAATTAATAATTAACAGCAAATTGGGGATCGTGCGAATTTTTAGGCAAAACCATTTAATGAAACCATGCTGTTGCAGCGTCAAGCCCTTTCCCGTCTTCTACTTTATCCTTCCTCTTCCCGCGTTTCATTTTCTTTGTTGAACAAAAGACAAAATCCCTATCTTCATCCTGTTCTCTCTCCGATTGTTGGGTATTCTCTCTTTGTTTCTCTCTTATCGATTTCGCCTTCATCTCGTTCGTTTCTCGATTGTTTTGATTTCTCTCTTGAATACAAGTTGATGCTCCGCTAAAATTCCTAGATCAACAGCTAGCCCCGACGATCGAAGCCCACCTTCTGCCTCCTTCCTTTTGATCAAAACCCTCTTTCTACCGTCAGTTATAAAGCTTGCTGATGAAGATGAAATCATCCCTTTTTCTGAGATGAAATCACCACACCTTGCAAATGACTGAAAGTGAGGGATCGAGTTTGTATGATGGAGAGATCATACTGGGGGAAGACGAAGGATAATAATGAAGAAAGGGGGACAGGAAAACAGCGTTCTACTTTTAGATGCTAAACCGACATCTTTATAATAAACCCACTAGTTTATCACCATAAAAACTATTAAATAGGGATAAAATAGAGTGAGCGAGATTGGATATAAAAACACTCGTTACTTACAAATATTTTTTTGTTTGGATAAATATTATATTTGAATTATAAAAAAATTAAGGTAAATAATGAAAATGAAAACATCATACTTAAATTTGGTTACTTTGACTTATTTAATTAATTTATTACTTATAATTATAAAATTAAAAAGTTAAGTATGATTTTAGTCCTAATATTTAAAGAAGATAATCGGGGTTGAAGTTGAACTGTTAA